AAATACAGTGTGTACATCGCGAAGAGAGCGAGGGAGGAGGGGACGAGAGGGGAGGGGAGGGAAGAGTTACAAATGGCCGCGGGAAACATTTCCCGGATAGTCCATGAAATCCGAAACGGTTTCGAAATATCGCGATAAAGCAGCAAACAACGCGCGCGCGTGGGGATGTTCGCATATATGCCGGTGTCCGGCGCCAAAGAATGCTCTCATTTGCGTTTTGTACGGCGCGACCGACCGACAAACAAAAATAAAAGTCAAAAAAAAAGAGAAAATAAAAATACACGCCGGAGAAAATCGTCCGTAAATACTCGGCTCTGCCGAGATATAGCGGCCGACTGTAACGGTGTGACCGTTTGCTCGATAATTATTGACGCGACTTGAAACACACACGCACGCACGCACGCACGCAGGTGTGCGCGCAGTTTCGCGGCAACAAAAGGTCCTTTATCGGGATCGGCCGCGATTCGTAATACACGGCGTACATCGCGGGAAACCACGAGTCGCTTGCTCGATGGCGCGACTCGCGAGTGGCCCGGCCACTCTTGGGCGTTTTATCGCGCGAAATTGCTCCTTCCATTGTACCCATCTCTCGGATACCTGCGGCGCGATCGATCGTTATTATTCTAATTGCGAATTCGCGCTCTCGCGGGGCCGCGCGCCGCCGATTGAAATAGCGACCATCGCGCGAAATTTTGCCTCGCTCGCGTATCACGTAATGGAGGCGATTGGTACGTCGCGACGGACGTTACAACATCCTTCCATCTCGCTGTTCCGAATTGGCCGAACGGACAAGCGGACATCGCACGCGCGCGAATAGATCATTGTGCTGAAAATCGCGGAGCACTTGAGAGAAGGAGCGAGAGAGGGCGAGAGAGAGAGAGAGAGAGAGACTGAGAGTCATGTAAACGTGCGACGTGCACGTTCGTCGACGTAAGTGTTGATCTTGGATTCAACGGCTCTCCGGCGCGCAGGATTTCGTCCCTATTCGCGCGAAAACCCAATTGCTCGGCTCTATGCGTCATTAGTGCTGGAAACGGAGTTAATGCCGTTAAATCCAGGTCGGTTGGGCCGGCCGCGATATTATTCGCACTTGTGCCGACCGTTCGCATGTACGTATATACGTTCGTTCGTTCGTTCGTTCGTTCGTTCGTTCGTTCGTTCGTTCGTTCGCTCGCTCGCATGTGCTGCCTGGCACCTGCACAGGTGCGACTCGCCGCGCCGTACTCTCTGCACTGCGCCGCGCCGCGGCGCGCGAAATGACGAGTCCTCATGGAAATGCGAATGAATGATCGTTCGTCCCGGCTAACTCGATTTCCACCAACGAACCGTGTGCATTTTTATCCTCCGGATCCTCCCCTTCTCGCCACTCTCCGTCGACCCGTCGCGTAATGTCCTCCCGGCGAGAACTCATTGGAACATTTTCTTCGCGAGTATTAATTCAATAGTCATCGGGAAATCACCGGCCGACGAGTCGTATAAATATTCATAAGTACGAATTTTATCGCTCGATGATTGTAGGGACATTCGTTTGCTCGCGAAATGGTGGTCGCGCGCGTTTCGTCGTTTAACTTTCATCGCCGACGATAAATCCCATCGGTGAATGTAAAAACGGCACGTGTCGAATTCGACGGAGCGCCGATCCGGAAAGTGTCGACGATAATCGCGACTTGAATTACACGTTTTATACGCCGGTAAAGCAAACTTTTCTTGTTTTCCTGTTTGAATTTACCGACGAGAAATTTTATTCCCTCGAACGTTCTATCGATATCAAGTCTCGTCGCTTTGCCAATATTTTTCAAGTACTCACGCTTCATTCAGCAAATATTGCCGATCTACGCGCATAAAAAGTAGGTCGCTCCTCTAATGCAAAATAAGGTACGCACACGGACACACGCGAGAGCGCCTGTTTATACGTGCAAGAGAGTAATTTCTTTCTTTTTCTTTTTTTTTCGGACTAACCGAAGACGAGTAACGAACGAAAAGTAATGTGCGTTTCGCCGAGTCGACGGAGCCTGACCTCGTATTGCCGCGGCATATTCGACGCAAAACCAAACGATTGCGCTTATGACATTCGCGCGTTCTTAAAATATTTATGTTAATTGTAGGGGGCTCGATCAAATCGATTCAAATAGTTTATTCGCGACGTATATCCGGAGACATACGTACACGCGCGCACACACACACACACACACACACACACGTTCACGCATGTGTTGTTTACACGTCGCGAACAACAGCCGTAAACATTCTACATTTACTAATTGCTTTCTCACTAATTGAAAGATTATATCAGCCGCGGATCATAGTGTGCGGATACAAAGGATAGTTTGCCGAAGTAAATACAAATACCGCGGGAAGTAATAGCACTGTTTGCTTAGTGTTTCGGTTGTACGTTTACAATTAATTAATTTGTCCGTTGCATGCGTCGTAATTAGCGTAAGTGTTCCTGCCAGATCCAAAATGCGCCGACGTGTGCGCGCTCGCGGGGCTAAAGTAGTAAATTCGAAATAACGCAGTTTGCGTATTATCGCGATAATCTCACCGATTATTTCGTTGCGTAAAAATGAAGTTGGCGGATCTCCATAGATACTTTCTCTCTCTCTCTCTCTCTCTCTCTCTCTCTCTCTCTCTCTCTCTCTCTCTCTCTCTCTTCCTCCTCCTCGAAATTTTGTCCCTATTTCTGCGTCGCGAATGTTTTTCACTCCGATCTTGGCGAACTTCGCGGGGTTGCAACGCGCGCTCACCTCATCCACATGAGACTGCATTTCCGTCCGAGACATTCAGAATGACGAAACCAGATAGACGCGTGATAATAAACATAATTAGACGCGCGCGCTCTTAGACAATCGCGTTATTCGTCCGCTCGTCGCTCGCGCTTGCAATTCTGCAACGACAGTTCCAGCTGACTCGCCGGGATCCTCCCCGCCGGACGAGCAGCGGCAAGCGTCCCGTGCTTTTATATATAAAAAGCTATCATTCGCTTGTCTCCTCCTCTCGAGGACCACGACGAGGAGACGCGATGAGGCTTTAAGTAATATCGATTCGACGTGAAAAGGCGAGTGCCGGACGCGGGAGAAACGAGAGGGGAGGATGCTCTTCAAGGCGGAAGAGAAGAAGCGAGCGATGCCGAATAGCATCGATATTGAATTGAAAATGGATCGCGCACGGGAGACAGAAAAAGGATGGAAGGAGGGTTAGGCAGCGGACGGGCGGGAACGAAAAGCTCATATAACTCCGATAACGGCGCAGTACGAATATAATCGCGATTTGTGCATAAACATTCTCTCACTCTTCAGCCCCATCCCCTCCGCCCTCGTCCGCTTTTCAACCGTTTGCTTATCCGCCGTTTACAGATTATCATGAGCTCGAAAATGCAGTTATCGCGAAACCTCTTGCCTCTCCGACGACAATTACGCGACGTTTTATTAATTTTTCTCTCCGCCCCCTCCTCTGTCTCTCTGCCGCCATCTCTCCTACCTCTCGTTCTTTGCCCCCCCTGTCCCCTGTCCCCGTCCCAGGGCGAATCTACTTTCTATATTCCGGCTCGATTTCCGCCTCAGCGAAATCGCGGTCTTCTTTCTCATTCTTCGTGCTTATCATTCGCTTTTACCTTCCTCCTTCAGCCCCCTCCCGCCATGCACCCCTGCCGTCGTCGTTGGTCACGATAATAAAACGTTCGGGGAACGATAGCGGTGTAATGCTTTTTAGTAAGTTTCCTCGATAAACGTACCACTTGACTGTCGTGGATGCGACTTCGCGACCGAGTCTTCGGGGAATTCTCCTTTACGCCGAGCTGCGCACGAGGACATTCAGGAATACGAGATTATTAATTTTATGAACACTCAAAGGCAAAGGGAATTCAGGCGAAATGTTCTCTCGAGGAGGAGACTGCGTCTCTCTCTCTCTCTCTCTCTCTCTCTCTCTCTCTCTCTCTCTCTCGCTCGCTCGCTCGCTCGCTCGCTCGCTCGAACGACGCCGAGATGCTTTTCTTTTCCCCCGCTTGCACGGTCCACTTTTATTTCCGACAAAGTAACAATATAAATTATTACGATACGTAATACGACGATAGAGAGGGATCGGCCCGAACAAAAGGACCCATCCGCCGAAGCGAGCGACGAAGGAAGGAAGGAACTGTTACACGCGGCGGGGGCCAATCGCGTGTATTCCTTCTTCGTCGCCGCGACATGGCGTAATTAAAATGAAATTCCTCCTCGCCGGGCGAGCTCGCCCGCGCACGCTTGTTTTTCCCTCCGCCGCTCGCTTGAATTTTGCCGTCTGTTCCGAGCGTGTTTACGCGATGCGAGCCTCAGATATTCCATTACGAGCCGCGCGCTCCAAGGTAAATATAAAAATGCTTTCTTTTCCTGCCCGCGTGTTTTACGTCGCCGAGAATAAATCGGAAAGTAATCTCGCGGGATAGTTCCCCCGGGAGGGATCAAGAGCTCGGCTTAAAGCAACCGAACGAGTCGGAGACTCGCGCAAGTGTCCGTCCGCGGTCTTTCGCCGCATCGTGACGAGATGGAACGATACTTCGCTCAACGTCCGTCGTCAAACGCGACCGTTTTACGCGGGAAATGACCCGGGAAACTCGCGGATCAGACGCGAAAAATATGCGAAAGCATACTTGCACCGGAGTCCGGATGTGCAACGTGGCGTCACCGCAGCATACCGTCTGGCCCATAACTGGCGTAACCACTTGATCGAGTCGGAGGACGGAACTTTCCTCAGGCGGCCAGGTATTATTATCGCGAACAGTCGCTATCGGCGAGTCGATTATGATCAGTATCGTAACGCGCTGGTAGGGAAAGTGTACATAAAAAATGTACGCATTAATATAATGATAATACATGTGAAATACGCGCGGCGAAATCGCGCCATCTCGCTTTGCGTTACTCCCAATTTGTAACGGGATATTCGTGGCGCAGAGCGCGGCGGACTCCGCGCCGCGCGTATCACGGGCCGGCACAACTAACGAGAGATCTCCCCTTGTATCGTTGCAGGCATTTCTGGAATTGGCGGACGAGGGTGCTGCGGCTACCATGGTGACCTATTTCGCCTCTGCCATGGCTCAGCTCAGAGGCAGAGCGGTCTACGTGCAGTTCAGCAATCACCGCGAACTCAAGACGGATCAAACGCACTCCAACAACGCGGTCAGTAGCCCAACAAATGATGTCGCCAACACCTCTGAGGTCTGTGTCATACTTCTTGCTTCACTTTTTCCGCTAATTACGCGTATCGCCGCATGTTCAGCCTACTGTGCTGCGCTCGTTCGATTGACTTTGCGAGTCTCGCTTCTCTGAGAACGTTCTCAGAACGCGCTTTACGCCCTGCCCGAAACCTGCCCCTTGTACTCACACTCGTTTTGCGCGTCCTTGAGAACAATGTCCGCGCATTCCCTTGCGAAGTCGAATCGTCCTCTCTCGCCCCATCGAGACTCGTACCGTCTAAATAGCGCGTCTCATGCATTCGCGGAGAATCCTAGCGAATTAATAGTTTGACGAAGCGAGTGTGCAACCCCATATATATACTACATGGGCTGAAAAGTCTTTGGCCTGATATATAGATGGTGCCACAAACTAAAAATTCTTATATTTCCTATAGAGTACCAACCTTAACTTAGATGCTGCAAAAATTTCATGATATTTCGTTGACTCGTGTACAAGTTTCTAGCTTTCGAAGTGACGTTACCTCTGAATTTATCTTTACTATGGAAAAAAGTGAATTTCGTGTTTTGATTAAACATTGCTTCCTGATGGGAAAAAACACTGTTGAAGCAAAGGCATGGCTTGATAAATGTTACGGCACATCTGCCCCACCGAATTCAACCATCAAATATTGGTTTGCTGAGTTTCGTCGTAACCGTACGAGCACAAATGATGCACCACGTTCAGGAAGGCCAAATGAGGCAGTTACTCCAGAAAACATCCAGAAAATCAGTGAAATCGTGTTGAATGACCGCAAAATGAAATTGAGTGAGCTAGCTAACATCATAGGCATCTCAAAGGAACGCGTTGGTCATATCATTCATGAATATTTACACATGAAAAAGCTTTGCGCGCGTTGGGTGCCGTGTTTTTTGACAATTGAGCAAAAAGCGGAACGTGTTCGACTTTCAAAGCAAAATCTGGCCCTGTTTAACCGCAATAAGAAGGAGTTTTTGCGTCGATTTGTCACAATGGATGAAACATGGATCCATCACTACACACCGGAGTCCAATCGGCAGTCAGCGGAGTGGTTATTGCCTGGTGAAAGCCGTCCGAAGCGCCCGAAGACACAACAATCAGCCGGCAAGGTTTTGGCCAGTATTTTTTGGGATGCGCATAACATAATATTCATTGATTATCTTGAACATGGTAAAACTATCAATAAAGAATATTACTGTACATTACTGGATCGATTGGACGACGAGGTCAAGGTCAAACGGCCACATTTGGCAAAGAAAAATATTTTGTTTCACCAAGACAATGCTCCAGCTCACTCGGCTCGCGATACGACCGATAAATTAAAGAAATTGCGCTATGAATTGGTCCCGCATCCCCAGTATTCTCCAGACCTGGCCCCCAGCGACTATTTCCTTTTTCCCCGACTGAAGCAGTGGCTCGCTGGTAAAAGATTTTACTCGAATGAGGAGGTCAAGTTGGAAACAAATGCCTATTTTGAGGGACTTGACACCGAGCACTATAAGACCGGCATCGAAATGTTAGCGGACCGTTACACTAAGTGCATTACTCTAAATGGAGATTATGTCGAGGAATAAAACACTTTTTTCATTAAAAAATCGTTTTTTCATTGTTAAGCCAGACTTTTCAGCCCATGTAGTATATATATATATATATATATATATATATATATATATATATATATATCTCTCTCTCTCTCTCTCTCTCTCTCTCTCTCTCTCTCTCGCGAGCTTCTCGCACGGCTCTCTACACGCCGTTGATGACGTGCGGTGACTTCGATGCCTCGAAAAGCAAAGCTGATGAACGCCGGGGCGGGCCTGAAAGAGGGAGGTATCGTCATCGTCGTCGTCGTCGTCGTCGTCGTCTCGGCACAATGGACGCGTTAACCGCGCGCGGTCGTCGTCGGGTCGTCGGGTGTGCAAACGGCGAAGCGCTTCGGCGCGGTGTGTTATTCACGCGGTCTAGTTAATTAAGCCGATACCCGGGCCCTTTGCACACACCCTGGTCGGCCATGTCGAGCTCAACGTTGAACGGGTGACGCAACCATGCGAGAGACGCCATGGCCATTTCGCCGTCAAGTCAATCTAAACACTCGCGTCCGCAAACTCCGTTATAATTAATGCGTCCATAATTTATGAACGATCCCTCGGGCGCGAGCGCGCCGATGTGTCCTGCATAGCCTTCTCCTCCCTTTCCCCCCGTTGCGTCCTCTTTCAGTTCTCCCGCTACGCGTGACACACTGTCTGTCACGCATACTACTCGCAAGTTGCGCGTGTCATCGTACACCGATGGTCGTCATCGGAACTAGTTAACTCGCCGCGTAATTCGGACGCACGAATCGGCCGTTTCGAATGAAATTTGTCAGGGAATTAATTAATCAGCGAATGCGCTCGCCGGTGTATATCAATTAACGGAATTCGGTCGGAGATTGGTGTGCGCTGTCGGTGCGTTACCTTATGTTTCGTCGTAGTCGAAAATCCAGCTCGGTGCGTAACTTTAAAGACAAGGAGAAAACGTCGAAATCGACAAATTGTAAGACGCGTCGTTCGAGCTCGAGCAAGACTCCGTTCCGAGATGTATATACCTCATTCTCTGGATCGTCCAAGTCGCCGCGAACGAGCTCGTCTTTCAATTCTCGTCGCGGAACCCGGCATTATCGTTAACCAGGCTGGCCAATTCGCGCCGTCAAGCGTTGGAACTCGGCAAAGTTCCCCCCCCCCGATGCCACAGTCGGTCTGTCTGTTACCCCCAAGTCACCCCCGGAGCCAAAGCCCGAGTTACCGAACTGCTGCCGTTCGCCACCCTCGAGGGCGCAACTTCGCGGTGGAAACGGACACCGATTCCCACGGGGAATCCTTCGGGAAAGTTTCGCCAACGTAGCAGCGGGGGCTGCGGCTGGCGGGACGCTGATGGTTCGTACAAAAAATAATAAATAAGGCGGTAAATAACCCGATGACGCGCGTCCCCGCCGTCGTCGCCGATGCTCCTTCTTGACGCGCGGAAACTTCTCGATCACGCATGTAAAGTTTACATGTCCGCGCACAGTTGACAGGAGCCGTCTAATGTGCCGCTGTGGAAATTCATGATTCGGGAAAATCGCCGCGCGTTTATCGACGCTCGCCGAGACGAGGTTCCGCGGAACGAAAGTCGCCGAGTGCATTCGATCAGTTTCATCCGCGACTTCTCTTTGCGATTCTCTGTTCGCGTGGAGAATAGGTCGTCGAATTCGGTTCCAACTGAGCCGTGAGTGTTGCTCGTCTCCACGTCGAAAATAATTCGATGAGCGCCGAAACTCGAGCTTCAGTCTAAACTATTCAAAGTGTTTGCGTTAATATAATCTTCGATCCTGGTTGGCGAGGTTTTTCTTCAAGGTGGAGCCGCTCGTTCGAGTAACACGGCCAAACTACTCGTGCGCACCGACCGTTTTTGCACTCGGCGGTAAAGAGCCCTGAATCAATAACATTAAACGAAAATTTAATTTCCTGTTCTATTTCGGACGAATTTCAAGCCGAGACGCGAGTTCTATAAAGAAAAGAAAAAAAGATATATATATATATATATATATATACGTATATACCTCCCTTTTCGGGCGTTTTTATCAGATCACGGTTTAACCACCGAAGAGTGTGCCCTCCTCGACCTACTCGCGCGACGTTCTCTTTAATTACTCGTCCAATTTCGGGCACTCTCCGACGACCACGACGGCGCCGCCAGCGCCAGAGAGACGGAAACGTTCCACGTGTGTTCCAACGCTATTCCCATAAAAGCGACATTAAAATTATCCTCTTATTTTCTCTGTGCATAAAACGCGACGACGGTGCGTCCCGAGAGAGGGATGCAAAGGTGGTCGGCAGAGGGTTCGGTTTCTTGGCGAGTTCGCTCTTCCCTCCCTCTCCCCACCACCCTCTCTCCACTACGGTCGAATGATTTCTCGCCAAGCGTCCGGGCTGACAAACGACGCCGAAAAAGCAATCGCCGTGAAAGCCTCGGCGATGCACCGCGTTCGTGCACAGCGGCCTGTGTGTGCGGCTCTCTCTCTCTCTCTCTCTCTCTCTCTCTGTGTGGGCGACGATGATGCCGGAAATTTCGCGGCACCGAACGCAAGACGAACGTCGGCCGTAGCCTCTGACCGATGTGCCTCTTCTCCCTCCTCCTCCTCCTCCTCCTCCTTCTTCCCCGTCTCTGCTCCTCCGGCTCACGGGAAGAAAGAAGTCAATTTTACAACGCGAGCGGGCGAGTGTCCGCGGCGCGACGGCTGCCACGAAACGACGCGCAAAGCGCGCGCCTTTTATCCCCGATTAAAATATCCGACGCGCGTCTGTCTCGAGCGCGCGCGAGTCCTGTCGCGTGTCCGTCATCTTCGCGTAACTCTCAACGGGACCGTACGTAAATTTCGAGACGCCAAGAAATCGCTCCGACGCGCGCTCCCTTCTTCAGCAGCATTTCTCGTCTCTTCTTAATTCCGTCTGTCTTTCTCTACGTATACGATTACGTTAAAAATGCAGGAATATTAATGAGCAGAAAGAGAAGAACACTCTCACGTGGCAAGAGGGACGACGGGCGTCGCGTCGCTCGCGAGAGAGGCCGGGCCGAGAAGTCAATATCGATTACCCGAGCTACAATAATAGAACGCGGAGCCGAGCGGACCGGACGAAATGGGTCGGCGTAGGTGCGAAACGGCCAACCGGCTCGAGTCGAATTTAACGAGAGAGAGAGAGAGAGAGAGAAAGGGACGCGTCTTTATGACGCACCGCCGTGCGGTTTACGCGACCGGGCCTGAGGCTGGTGTGTCGGTTAAGTAAACGCCCGGGTCGGCGAACTCGTTTAATAAAAACGCCATGCGCATTGTTTAGTAATTAATTTAAAGTCGAGCTTGTACACGCCACCTCGACGCATAGCCCCAGCCACGCTCTTTAGCGCGAGACGAGCGACGTAAAAATGGGCATTTCAAGCATAACGGATGACGCACTCGTCCCCGACATTCTCACTTTTTCCACCTGCCTCTTTTT